GCACAATAATGGCAATAAAGACTAGAGACGGTCAAAACTGAAGGCCTCTTATGTAAGCCTTTCTCAAAGAATTTATGTGATTGTTTTAAGTTCCTTTGTGTTTGTTCCTTTCTGGCATGGCTTTCAATAATACAGTTCATGTCTTTCCAGTGCAGCAACTGCAGTACAAATGTGAAGGTGCATCACATTTTGTGCAAAGGCAGATCAGTTGTCTGTTTTTAGGAATGGTTTTATTTCATTAGTCTATTAACATCTAGAAGTTATTTTCAGTAAATAGCAATAAATGTTTGGTTTTGTTTTGTTTGTTTGTTTTTTTCCTTGTGGATCTTATTTTCTATTGTATGTATAAAAACCCCCAAACAATCAAAAATGAAACAAACCCCAAAAACCCCATTATGCACCGCTCTCAAAGCCCCGCAAAACCAAACTTCCAAATCAAGTTAGAAATTGAGACCTTCAGGCATGTGATAGTGTTTAATGCCAATAAAGATTTCCTTCAGTTAGAAATTCTGATTCTTACGAACTGCAGAAATAGTATGCATAAAATTGGAACATTTTTCTTTTATTTAAAGTTTTTATTGTCAGTATGTAAATAATTTATATGTGTCTGTAAAACTTGGAGATGTCTGGGAAGAGGCAGCTTAATTATTTTTGTAACACGTAGCACTTTGAATGTGCTTTTTGGTGGAGGGTGATGTGGCCTGGGACAGTCACTCTTGATATCAGAATTGACATATTTGCTAACAAATGTTTAGAATGCTCTGTGTGTTTTAGCTTTGTTTTTCTAGGGCCTGCTACCATGGACCTACATTTATGATACAGTCTAAGTTGATTTTCCTAGTTTTTGTCTGATTCAACAAGGTTTTGCTTCACCTAGACATAAATGAACAATAATAGATTGTATTAGATAGCTAGATACTGGATCTGACAAATCTTACATTCCTTTCTAGTCCTAGAGGTGTTGAGTTTAATTCCAAGATTGTTTACTCATTTTGTTCTGTGCACTCAGTACAGAGCTGAGATTCCAGTTCATGAGTAGGTGGAAGTCAAGTTTAATTTGATAGTACTCTACTAAAGGTAATGACTGATTAGGGGTTTCAGTGATTTGATATAATCTGCTAATAATTTTATTTTTAATTTTGAGGTTGATAGTAGTGTTTTATCAAGTTATGGCTCATGTAAAATAGGAGATACCAAATGTAAGGATTAGGGCATTTGTCATGTAATGCAACTACTATAGAAAAAATTTCCCTAGTTTTGTGGAGAGAAAAACAATGTAGTGTTGGTGTCAGAATTCTTGTTATGTCCATTTAGACCTTTTCTATGCTTCTATTCAAAGGGCAGGTGGAGAATGTTTCCATACATACATTGAAAAGGAGACATACATACATTGTGGTTGTACTAAGTTACATTAGTGCACGTGATGCAGACATTGAACAAAACTAAGACCTATATTCCTTCCTGTAGTACTAGGATTTATCTGAACATTTCATCCATATAAGTGGAGGTTTGCCTGCTTTGTGTTTTGTAAGTTGATGATTTGAAAGTTGAGGAAGAGAACTGATCTGTTGTGATGTGTTTTGGGTGTTTTTTTAGCATATAGCATTCAAAAACTCAGGATGTGGAACAGGTAAGATACCTGTAAGGACTACAGTTTTGAGTGTGGTTGAAGAGGAATATTTTGAAGAAAAGTGGGGGACCTAGATATGTAGGTCAGGAAGCACAGAGCTGAGTGGGAGGGGACAAAGAGTTTGCCTTATTGAACTGGCTTTATAATTAGTCATATTTTAAAGTAATCAGCTTACTTATTTTGAGACTTCTTTCTGCTTTAAGAAGACTACTGGTTGGAGTTTAGTTGGTAAATAAGGAACATGCTGACTTTCCTCAAGTGATACTCAGCTAGGGAAAAGCGGGAAGCTCCTGCTGCCTAAAATACACTGTTGTTAACAACTCCGTATGAACATTAAGTATACTTTGCATGGTTTGCTTAAGCAGTCTTGAGGAATCTGTAACGCGCACCTCAATATTGGAGGAACCTTTAAAATTGCTTCTTTCGTAGTCCATTCATCTGTGTAGAACTCAGATGTCTTTGGAAAAGCTGGTGGATGTTGTTTCAGTGTGTTCCCACAGTTAACTGCATGAATGGTTCTGTAATGCAGTGATACAACTTTTTGTTTTCTGTTTCTTACTCTTCACTCAAATAGCATATGAAAACAAAGGCTATAAAATTTGTACCTCAGGTAGACATTTTGTAAGTGTACAGTATTACATGGATTTTTATAGGAGTTTAATGAGAATCAACAAAGGTGTAATCATGGCTGCAGTGGTGTTTTCCAGTTTTTACTTCACCCAGAACTGAACTAAGCAAATGTAACAAATCAGAAATAGAAGGGAGGAGTAGCACATGCTGGTACTGTAATTTAAACACATAGTCTGGGAAGCATTATTGTGAAGTGTTTTTACATCTGTGTTGTCTTTTTACCTGCTTTCATTGCTTAGCAAAATTGACTGACTAAAAAACAAGAAAATATTCTCCAGTAAGAAGGTTTGTGTATAGTTCAGTCTTGGTGTAGGTAATAAATAAGTCTTGCTGCATGTGGCATGTTTCTCAGTGGAGCTGTATGTTGGAAAACGTATGTAACCAAAGACACAGTGTGCTTAATATGACTTGTACTAAATGAGCTGTATCGTGGAAACCAATACTATAGTGACAGTTTTAATTACAGCTGTATTAATGAGGGGTTTCCTGTATACAAGGAAAAACTGGCAGTAGTTACCACATTCAGACAAAGTAGAGCTTTGTTTTACTATTTTATTCTTGTACAAATAACATTCCTGCCTATTTTGTGACCCTGCTACAGTGTGTCTGTAACTCTTTGACCTAGAATGGTTCATACGCATGTATCTTAAAACTTTTTAAAAGCCACTTTGTGATACCTTCTACCTTATAACAGATAGTGCCTTTAATTATTAGAATGTGATAAGTAATTCTATGTAAGTAATCATTTTGGTGACTACTGCCCTATTTTAGGAACTTCTGAACCTGTAGCTATTCTTTCTGACTTGTTATGACTTTCTGACTTATTATGAAGTAGCTACAAAATTTAGTATTTTAGAGGTAAATACTAACTTTTTAAAAATCAAAGAACATGTTAAAAACATTTCTTGTTTCAGTGGCACATTTTTATTAATTGGAGTCAACAGCTTAGTTAGCAAGTTTCTAGGCATAGCAATTAGTTGCTTGGGGGAGGGAGAAAAAAATGTTTTGTTCATCCGGTTTGACTATGATGAAGTCTTAATTTATGATCAGAGCTCTTGGATGTTGTGGTCATGTAAATACATAAACAAAGTTTGGGAGTCATCTCTTCTTATGTCAGTGTATTTGATCTAGTTAACATAGGTTCCCTTCTTGAAGGAGAAAATAGACCTGATTCACATTTGATAGGTTCCTTAAGTTGATTAAACAAATTGCATCCTAACAGGGCTTATTGAGATTCCTTTCTCATTGGTGAAGAGCAGGGTGACAGGATCAGTGTCCACAAAGATGCTGGAGTTCAGGTGGCCAAATCTGAATTATGTATCCCTTCACTATATCTGAAATAGAACAGTACCAGCTTCTACACTTGAATATGCTTTAAAGTAAGAGAAACAGTGAATTTTTAACAGTTGCTACACAATTATTAACTTAATCCCAACAAAAAGATGGAAGATTTACAGACTGTTTGATAGTTCAGTACAAATACACATTGATCCACCAGTGTACGTGCAGAACACAATAGGTAAAAAGCAAAGGTATGAATTGGAGTACCTAGTTTTGAACTCAGATAACCAGTAGAATATATAGTCCAGCTTTAAATGTTGTGGTTTTGCTAAAGTAAATGAAACTGGACATGCCATGTAATCCAGAAAAAAGAAACTTTTGAGGATTGTTAATGTAAGGAAGAAATGGTACCAAGTTAATGATGCATTGAATTCTAATTGATTACTATTTGAATGTGAATTTTAATTAATACCAGTTCTAAACAAATCAGTGACAAACTTTGTTGTCAACATTCAGTGTGTACTAGTAGCTTTCTTTTTGTCCACATGTATTTCTTGGAGCAGTGTTGGTTAGTGGCATTAAGATAAAGTTGATGTTTGTTTGAATAGCCTGTGTTTGTTAGAAAAACATGTTAACCACACACAACATGACATAATAATTAATTGCATTTTGTGTTTTCATGGAATTGATTACTTTCATGAATGACAGTGCTGAATGTGCTTTCCAGTTTGTTGTGTTTTGTTTTATTTTTCCGAAACAGATAAATCTAAGCTCCCGTATTTTTTTAATTAGGTTCTGCAAAGCGGGGTGGTTGAGAACTTGACATTCCAGCTGCTCTCATCTTTTCACATAAAGTTGAAAGACAGCTGCACATCACTTTCGTATTACAGTTCTAGTGTGACTGCTTACTTAAATGACAATGGAGAGATTGTTCAATTGGCAGTGGTAAGGGGAGTAGTCCCTCAAATAATCTGAGGAAATGAAGGTTTGAGAACACTAATGGTTACTCGCTAGGCAGTTCATTACAGCTCCCTAGGCACTGAGTATGAATTCATCATGCCAAATTACTGGACTGTGCTTGAGATTCCAGGCTTAACTGTCTTGGTTTAAAAGACTCTGAAGTCACATGTAAAAATTACAAGTAACTAATCAATGAGAAAAGTTAGAGAATGTTTAGTTCAAGGGTACAACGTCTAGTTATGGTACAACAGTCTAGGGCTTTATCTCACCCGTGCTCTAGCTCTGCTTGAGACAGCTGTGTATTGGGAAAGTGTTGATGGGCAGAGTAAGGGTTTGAGAATCTGACATACCCTGATGCTTGGAAAGAATCCATACAGTTCTTGGGTTTGAATGTGGCTGTTGTTGGCAGGCTTAACCTTTTGTTGTTAAACTTTCTCTGCTAGCAGTTCCTTGTTGTGAATGCATGACTGTTCTAACTCTCAGCTTTGTTTTGTCTTAGTCACATTGATCAAACAACAACATGGCAAGATCCTAGGAAGGCCATGCTTTCCCAGATGAATGTTACAGCTCCCACCAGTCCTTCTGTGCAGCAGAACCTAATGAATTCTGCATCAGGTAAGGAAAACTTTTATTTATGGAAAATTCATACAAATTTAGTTATAGGGAGTCCTAATCTCACAATTGTCCTTCCAGTTATCCTGGTTTTATACTTTAAATTTGTTGTTGCCTGGTTAATCAATCAGTAGGCTACTACTTGAGGTAAGATGATTTTTGTGTAGTATTTATGATGTTAACAGGAAATATTCTCTAGTTCTTTGATTTGTGTTTTTACTTTTTAAACAGTTTGGACATTTAAAGAAGTAGAATTTTTGCCTTATTTCATCTCACTGAATGGGCTGTTAAATTAATGAAGACCAGATTTTTTCATTGAATTACTGTCAATTTACGTTAAAGCTGTTGTGCTTCTGCAGTATTCTGCCTCCCCTTGCTCACTTACTAGACTTGGTATACTCCCTTTCATTTACATCTCCTACATTTGTTATAAACATCTCATTTTATTTTTTTTTCCTTTCCTTAAATGAATGAAGCCAACAACTGAAATATCTTGTTCAGAAGCAGAGACATTTTGGTTTTCTTCTTGTTTTCCTAGTATTTCCAAAATCCTGTATCATCGTGATTATTCCTGTTGCTGAGGAAGTCTGTTAATCTCTTCCTGGAATACAGAATTGTTTTTTAGCTAGTCTGGTGGGACCTTGGCTAGACAGCAGCAAAGTGTGCTTGTTCTTGCTGTAGAATCTGTTGTGTGTTTTCAGAACTCTCTTGTTCTGACAGTGCAGAGAGTAAGCAGGTAAATTCAGTGCCATGCTAGTTTGACTGCTGTGCTCTTCCTTATGCTTTGCCACCTTCTGTCTGTCACTGAGGTCCATGTTTTATTTATTTTCTCACAATCTGATTGTATTTTGTGTATGTCTGCCATTGCTGTATTTCACATTATTTTCTGGTTATTTCTGGTGCTGCTTTTTGTTGTCTATTTAGACAGCTTTGTTTCATGTTGCAATTCATATGTGCAGACAATACCAGAAGATTAACAGGAATGACCAAACTGTGCAGTTTATGAGTGAATATTAGAGGGGAAGCTGATAAAACTTTGTTGGCTAGCCCAGGAGGTTGGATTATTCTGAAATAAATGAGTCCTGTTCAAGTTCAGGAAGTCATGATTCAAAGAAATAATGGTCTCAGGCTTTGATGTGAAAACACAGTATCTGTGATTATTTTTTTCTGTAAATATATCCCAGGAAACCTGCAGCAGTAGAGATGACATGTTTTTGCAGGGACAGTCCTAAAGAACAGGGAAAAGGAGAAAAGATAGACCAAGGGAATTGTTTTCTGTCTTATGGCTTATCTTGTTTGTGCTAAAATGAGATGCTCAGTTTGAATATTGACATAAATTCTCTGTTTTAAAGTAACTCCTCAACCTTCCACTGTACCAAGAATTAACAGGAAAAAATTATTTATAGGGAAATATGATTCATGTTGTGTACTTCAAAAGAGGTGAAAAGTCCTTAGCAAAAACCCCAACCTGATTAGTTCTAAGGGGTAAAATCTAAAATAGAATCAAACAATCAGTACATGAGGATTATTTTAAAAAGGAAAGTTAAGAATTTACACATAATTGATGTGTGTGAACAAATGATCTGGCATAGATTTGTTACTCATGCAAAAAAGGAGAGTTGAGGTGTTGTAAGTGGATTGTCTCATGAATTGAGAAAGCTCTTACTTAAATGCAAGTTCGTGGAATATTTATTTTTAATTTCACAGATGATATTGTATTGAATATGAACTAAAAATCTTGTAAAGTTTTTTTCCTCAGTGATCTGAATTTGATAAAGTGCATGAAGAGGTCAGAACTTCAGTGTATATTGAGCTAGGTGTATATGTGATTTTTTATTTTTATTTTTTTTAAGCTTAAATCAGTTGAGATAGTATGACCTGGAACTGGCTCTTTGGGTGCACCTTCTGACTCAACTTATTTGCATTTAGCAAGTCTGGTTTGAATTAAACAGTATTGAACCTGCATTTATTGTATATGATTGTTTCTGCTACCTAATTTGGCAAATCTTTGTGTACAAACTTTAAATTATGACTCTTTTTTTAACTAAACTTTCATGTGTCTCGTTCTGTTATGTTCTACGGCTGAGCTCATGGTAACTTATGCTTCCTTGGTGGCCTCATATAGAATGAAAGAAATAGAAAAATCAAGTAACCATGTACCACTTCAGTACAGTGCAACTTAAATCTTGAGTGCTAACTTCATAAATGTAAGACTACTTGGTGTTCTAATTTGGATATTCATCTATTCATCCTCAAGAACTGGGAAATAAAGTTGACACCTTTGAGTTAGAAGTTTCCTGTTACGAAATATTGCTGGCAATGCTTTACACTATCCTACTACTTTGAGAGCCTTTCATGAAAAGATACTGGGAAAAACCAAGTGTAAGTATTGTGACAGATGGAGGTCACTGACTTGCAAAAAAAATGTACAAAATGCCACATGGGAGAATGTTTTCCTTTCTGTACGGTTCATTCTTGCATAGTGTTCATTAATTATAGTCCTTAATCAGAAGTTACTGTTCGAGTTTTAGTGTACTTAATTACAGACTGCCATAGGAGCTTGTGTGTTAAGTTGCTGTGGTAAACATAAGAGAGATTTTTAGGAGCCATTGGAAGCTTCCACTAGCTAGAATTAAGAACAGGTAAACAAACTGAAGAGGGAGAGAGAGAACAGAACTGGGAAAGCTGCTGTCTGCGTCTTGAGGATAAACCTGTTGTCTTTTCTGGATAAATAGTGTAAGTGGAGCTCAGAAAATGAGGGAAGAAAACAAGGGTGTGGTAAGGCTGAAGGCAAGTCAAAAGAATGTTTAAAATAAAAAACGGCAAGAAGAAGATAAAAGATAAAATTTAGCATGAGGCTGAGATTTTTAGGTTGTTTTTCTTAAGAAATCCCTCCTTTTAAGACAGGTGAGACTCCCCCAAGATCAGGTATCATGTTGCAAGTTATGTTTCTTTAAGGAAATTAAAAGACATCTGAACCAGCTTCATCTGTTATGGCATGATTTTGTGAATTAACTACTCTGAGTATTAAGCATACATCCTGTACAGGAGGGCATCAGTATGGGAAAAGTGAGGAATTTTTTCCCTGCTTGTTTTGGTTCTTTGGTGTTTTCTTGTCTCCATCTTACTGAACCTAGCTTGCTACATGTAATCAGCTAGAATGGTTTGGGCCATATTGTGCATATGGCATTTGCTGGTTAACCCTCTGTGAAATAGGATTGCAGCTTCATATCAGTAATGGAAAGAAAACAAGCTTGTTACTTCTATATATGCAAAAATTATATATATATAAACACAAATACATTTATATATATATGAATCTTGACTGTTCTGATTATGTGTTTCTAACCCTTTTTTTTCCCTAAAGGTATTACAGGAAAAACTATTCTGTCTTGATTTTTTAAAAAGAAAAGGGAAGTAATAGTAACAGTATGTTGTTCTTCTGAGGAACCTGTCCTATACATTTCATACTGAGGTAAAATTATAAATTTTAAAGTAGACAATGCTTATTTGTTACAGTTGGTTTAACGGAGATGAGATGATAATTGCATTTATATACTTCAGATACTTTTACTTCCTGAATCATGCTTGACAGCACTGCTTACTTTAGCCTGTTCTGCTTGTGCATAGATATTAGGTAATTAGCTTTGGAGCAGATAATCTGTCCTTGTTGTCTTATCTTCCCTTACCATTGCAGTTCTGAATTGGGTTTTCAATGAAAGTTCGTAGGCCTAGTGTAGTTCTCTTGCCTCCTCAGGGAAGGCTGGAGTGCCATATTAAAGGCTGGTAGGAAAACAGACACTTTAATTCATAACTCTTGAAGTTTTTCCCCTGTTGGGGGACGGGAGGACAGGGAGGAATATGCCAATGACTACAAGTTCCAGCTCTTACCTTAGATTCTTGCTCTCTTCAGTTGCAGATTTCTTTTTTTTTGTAACCAGTCATACTACAAACTGCCTTGTGTGCAGTCAACACTACATGTGATCAGTTGTGAAACTTGAATTTCTGTGTATCTGTATGACAGTACTATTAATTATTTAATCTGCAAAAAACACCCAGTTTTTAATAGAGGTTTTTTGGTAAGCTTTAGTGTTTCTACATAATAAAGGTAGACTTTAGGGAAAACTTGTAGATGCTGATACCACAACCCCAGCCTTCAGGAGAGCACCCTTTGACCTCTTCAGGGGTCTGCTTGGTAGGATTCCATGGGATAAAATTCTAGAGGGGAAGGAGCCCAAGAGAGCCAGCCGGTCAATATTCAAAGATCACCTCCCCTGAGCCCAGGAGAAGTGCATCCCAAAAAAGAGGAAGGCAGGTCTAGAGGCCTGAATGGATGAACAAGGAGCTCCTGGGTGCTCTTAGATGTAGAAAGAAGTCTTTAGAGGGTGGAAGCAAGGACAGGTAGCCTGGGAGGAGTACAAAGAAGTTGTCTGAGCAGTCAGGGATCAGGTTGGGAGAGCTAAAGCACAGATGGAATTAAATCTCACCAGGGACATCAAGGGCAACAACAAAAGTTGCTACGGGTGTGTCAGTGATAAATGGCAGACTAGGGAAGACATGGGCCCTATCCACAAGGAAACTGGATACCTGGTCATGTGGGATATGGAGAAGGCTGAAGTGCTCAGTGACTTTTTTTGCCGTAGTCTTCACCAGCAAAAGCTTTAGCCACACCATCCAGATTTAAAAAGGCAAAGGTGCAGGGACTGAGAGAAGGAAGATCCGCTCACTGTAGGAGATGAACAGGTCTGAGACCATCTGAAGAACCTGAAAGTGCAAGAGTCCATGGGACCTGATGAAGTTGCAATGCCACTTTCCATCACATTTGAAAAATCATGGCAGTTTGATGAAGTTCTCACTGATTGTGGAAGTGAACACATAACCCCCATTTTCAAAAAGGGAAAAAAGGAAGACCTGGGGAACTGCAGGCCTGTCAGTCTCTGTGCCCAGCAAGATGGAGTGGAGTAGATCCTCTTGAAGATTCTGCTAAGGCACATAGAGAATGT